CCAAACACTGATACTTCTCAAACACTGATACTTCCCAAACACTGATACTTCTCAAACACTAATACTTCCCAAACACTGATACTTCTCAAACACTGATACTTCCCAAACACTGATACTTCTCAAACACTAATACTTCCCAAACACTGATACTTCTCAAACACTGATACTTCCCAAACACTGATACTTCTCAAACACTGATACTTCCCAAACACTGATACTTTTCAAACACTGATACTTCTCAAACACTGACACTTCTCAAACACTGATACTTCTCAAACACTAATACTTCCCAAACACTGATACTTCCCAAACACTGATACTTTTCAAACACTGATACTTCCCAAACACTGATACTTCCCAAACACTGATACTTCCCAAACACTGATACTTCCCAAACACTGATACTTCCCAAACACTGATACTGCTCAAACACTGATACTTCCCAAACACTGATACTTCTCAGACACTCATACTTCTCAAACACTGATACTTCTCAAACACTAATACTTCCCAAACACTGATACTTCTCAAACACTAATACTTCCCAAACACTGATACTTCTCAAACATTGATCATTCCCAAACACTGATACTTCTCAAACAGTGATACTTCTCAAACACTGATACTTCTCAAACACTGATACTTCTCAAACACTGATACTTCTCAAACACTGATACTTCTCAAATATTGATTATTCCCAAACACTGATACTTCTCAAACTACAGTTCACCTATCAATCAATCAATTTAACTATGACAATTCTAAGTTAACTTTAGCTAAATTTATTTTGTAATTGATGACTTTGTCAGTGACATTGAGACAGGAAAAGTGGGCATATAACTGTGTTCTCATTCATTTTTTTTGTCATATCAGTGAAATTAGAATTTGAATAAATGATTATAAAACTACAAGTTAATAAGTAAGATAAATATATACATTCGTATATCTTTATACTGCAAACATTTCGACAATTTCGCTTCTAGTATAATGCTACACAAATGTTGCGAAAATTAAAAGCATATACGATTTAGGAATCAATGTTCTGACTATTTCATCTTACATGCAGGTGTTCCTCAAGGATCCGCCCTATCTCCTACATTATATATTCTTTACACAAATGATTTACCTGAACCAATCTATCCAAATACACTCACACTATCCCATACAGATGACATTACACAACTCACAAAACATGTAAACTTAAGATTCTTAACACGCAGAACACAACGTGAGGTCGACAGGATTACTGCTTGGGAATTACAATGGAAAATTAAAACCAACCCGAACAAATCCAAGATCACCTACTTTAACAGAAGGCGAGAAGTCCCAGTTCCTGTGGAACTCAAAACAAGCACCTCCAGCACACCTATTCCACGCACCACTTCCACAGTTATCCTTTGGGTTACCTTAGACAATAGCTTGACTCTCAAACCATACATCACTGCCAAAACTGCAATGGCTAAGACTGCACTGTTGAGGTTTTATAAGCCAAAAGGAATGCATACTAAGACTAAATTACACCCCTATAAAGCCCTCCTTCGACCTCTTCTTACTTATGCCCCACTTGCTTTGACATTAACTGCCAAAATTAACGCTTTAAAACTCCAACGTATCCAGAACCGAGCATTACGTTGAGTGTTGGGAGGGAGGTGGTACGATTTCGCCACCAGCGAATCTCTTCACGTCACGACTGACACACCAGTTCTGAACGAGTACTGGAAGACACTAAGTGACAAATTGACAGACTTGAGACATACATGACTACTGCACTTCATATTTAGGAGACACTGTCAGGCGTGCTAACAATAACGTAAATCTCTTCTCTCTTTATAACCCCACTCCTCCTCCCCACTACATCTAAGCTATTTGTCATAACTTGCACTATTTTACTTTAACTGTCATTGTCATTGAGCGCGTCCCTGTGCGTTTATGTGGAATAACTTGCGATGGTGATTGCCACATCTTTCAGTAGTCGTAACTTTTTTGCTACGTGCCCAGTCTTGCGATGACATACCCTTGAGAGTAAAACTGTTGCATTTATGTTTCCCTTGATTAGCAGTTGGGTCTAGTCCCGACACTTTTTCTCTTATCTTCAACTTTCCTCTCCCCCATCTATTCTTCCTCCTGTCCCCACTTGCACCTCGCCCATTATGGGTCCTTACCTGTGACTCCTTTATTTATTATTATAAAATTAAAATTCTTAAATTTTACATTGTAGTAGCTCTTGTGTAGCTGCCACTTTCTAACTTAAAGTTTTCTTCACGCAGCTTTCGGAGGTTTCGAACAATTTTGCCTCTTTTTTTAAGGAGTTATCAATATGAGTTATTGATATGATGTGGAGCAATGTAGACATTTGCATATTTTTGCTATTATTTATCATTTTTTTACAATTTTTTTAAAGTGTGAAATTCTTGAGCGATTTCTTTCTCTCTTTTTGGAATTATTTTATGACTTGTTTTGATAACTAAACTAAGATTGTAAGATAATTAACTAACATAGTATTTGATTAATACAATGTTACCAATTAAACTATTCTATGCTACTTATTTATTTCATTATAATTGTTATTTTTCAACTTTTCCTTATTTTTATTTATCACTCAATATGCATAAATATTTCCGGGTATGTTACTGACACCGTTGCCAATATTATTATTATTATTATTATTATTATTATTATTATTATTATAAAAAAAGAAGCGCTAAGCCACAAGGGCTATACAGCACCGTTGCCAGTAAGAATAAAATAAGTGGTACAGCATTGCCAATTTGAAAATTTTGAATCTTAAGAAGGTTACTGTCCTCTTAATGTGAACCAAGAACTAGATATCAACTCCCTCAAACAGGGGAAGTTTGTGTTGAGTGTCTTGAGCAGTTTGCAACCCTTAACCCAGTCGTAAACAACGTAGTAATTTTACGCTTACACAGTTTTCATATATCTTTTGTTAAACTCTATGCCAGGATGGATCATTCACCACAAGGAATGGTGAAGTTAGGAAAGAGTTACTATACAATGGAGTACTACCTACCAACCTTCCCGAAATGTGAATGAAAAAGCTTATCAGACAAAATGGATCTATCTTTAACAAGCCATCGGTTTATTATTTTCCTGAAGAGGCAAATATAGATGGTAGTTGACTTTTACAAATATACGACAACTTCACATATTAGAAATAAAACCTGGAAGATGTTTTAATCCTTTCAGAAAATTATTAAGTCAAGTGTTCTCTCTATTTTATTTTCAGATTTGTGAACTTCTGTTAATTTGTTCAAACCACTACATTGTTACTTTTATTCATCAATAAATCAATCTTTCATCACCAGTCATTAACTGTGACTGCTGAGCCTTACACTCGTTCACAAAATTTTAAAATAATCGTAAACAGCATGATCAGAAGTTATCGTTTTTTCTTAAGTGACTCAAGATATTCCAGGATCCCGCACACTGATAAAGCTTTTCCATGAAAGTCATCATCTGGTCTGGGAACCCATTTTCCTGACTCTTTATTTGCTGCTCGACTATAGACTGACATAACTCGATCAAAAAGAGATTTTTTGTTACACTCTGTAGGTGCGTTTTTCTCGTCTTTGAATAGTTGTTTAAGGATTCTTTCTTCCAGACCTTCAATACCAACCGACCAAGTATTCCATGACTGTGTGTATCTCTTTGTATTGAATCTTGGAGCAAACCAAAGTTGCAAGGTAATTTTTCTAAGAAGGCGGCAAGCTAACCAAACTTTTCTGTCATCTTTTGTAAGATCTTTGAAGTATTTGGTTTCTTCTCGATATTTACGTAGTATCCACTCATCATAGATATTGGTAATGAATACAGACTCAGATATGCTCTGCTCGTCATTAAGAGAAATTTTAGCTTCCAGTGTTGGCACGATGTAAGAAGTCAGCAGACAGAAATATTTATGGTTCCAAACCCAGCGTATGTACACACCTTTATGTGTATGAAGGAGAAATGGTGGTGCAATTGATATATCAGATTTATCTGATGATTTGCTTACATAATTCTTAATTGCTTTCTTTATATGTTTAGCAAATTCTTCTCTGAATGTAGATCCTTCCAGTGTAAGATCCTTTGAGATTATAGTGACTTCTCCATGTGATCCAGAACTTTTGCACTTGATGTCCTGCTCCGGAGATACTTCATACATAAAGTCAACATAGTTGACGTGAAATATCTCATTTCCTTCCATAAGAGGTCCAGTGAGAACGGTTTTACCTTTGAACTTCTTGTCTTCAATACTTTCAACTAGTTTGTCTGTTTCTATTTTTATTTTATCCTTTATCTGGTTAACTTTCTTCTCCTCACACACGTTATTAACTGCAACATCAATCAAGTCATCTGGTTTGGTTATTTTTAGATAATTTCCTTTAATGTACAGAAGTTCATGTGCTCGTTTTCCATCTTCAGTTTCATTTTTGACATGAAGTGCCTCTTCACGAGTCATTAAGGGCATCTGACAATCAGTGCAGAATTCTTCATATTTTTTCATTAAATCTGCAGCTGTTAGTTGAATGTTACACTTCATTTCCTTTTGAACATCATTCATTCTTGCTAAAATATATTGGTAACATTCTTTGTGTCCTCCAATGGCAGCAAGATGAGCAGCAGAGTATTTCCCAAGAGTAACTTTATCTAATTTAGGATTTTTATACAAAAGATACTCGATCATATTCAAGCGTCCATACATAGAGGCGACGTGCAACATCGTACAGTCAGAAAATGACTCTACTACACTATTTATATCCATGTCTTTAAAAATTTTCTCGTAAAGTATATAAAGTATGTAGACAAGGTCATGTTTAGCTAAAAGATATAAGAAAAAGTCATCTGGACGCTCCAGGGTAATGTCTTGAGATTTCAAGTCTTCGTCTGACTTCACTTTACTGAGTTGTTCAATGTACTTCTTAAGAATATTTGTTTCATCTTTGTTGAGTTTCGTGCGGTCATGTTTTCCTGAACAAATATCCTTAAGTACTTTTCTTTCATTCACCCAATATTCTTGCAATAAATCTGAAGGCAAATTTGATGAAGGTGGCAAAGAAAAGGTAAATGGAACCATATTCATGTCTCTACACAGAGTGACTTGTGTATCAAAGTGAAATCCTGTGAATGCCAACTTGAAAGGATTTTCTTCATCTTGTAATGGGTGAATACAAACATCTTCTAAGCCCAGTAGAACACAAGTGAGGGAGAGGCCATGACTTGCTGCAGTACACAGTAAATCTCGCTTTTTTACTTCGTTCGTCATAGTTATTACTTTCCAGTATGAATTTTGAAAAATTTCCAGAGATTTTAAAAGTTTTTTGATAAGATTCCATAGCCTGAAAAAGTTCATCCTCTTCTTTTCCTGTGATTTTAGAGCCTTTTAAAGTTTGTATCTCCATCTGTATCTTCTCACTGTATGCCTGGTGAAAAATAAAAATTCGTAAATATTAATAGCTTCAAATTTAGATTAATACAAGTTATAATTAGAGCTGGAATTGTATATAAATACAAATAAAAGAGAGCAAATAATACTTAGATGTCGGGGTTTCCTTAAGTGACGAAAACATTTCACTCACATAATGAGTTTTATCCAATCGGTGCAGAATACTGATGTTGAGAAAGAAAGGTGAGGAGCGTGGGAAAATTTTGATGGTAGAGAACACTACACAGTATATATAAGTGGTAATGAATGTGCCTGAGCGCCGTATGCCACAGCTCCTCACCCAGAGATCCTCAACTCACAGCTCCTCACTCCAGAGATCCTCAACTCACAGCTCCTCACTCAAGAGATCCTCAACTCTCAGTTCCTCACTCCAGAGATCCTAATGCCACAGCTAACCAAAATGGCGGCGGTCGTACGCCCTGCCCAGCCCCGCCCGCCCAAGCACCAGCCCGCGCCCGCGTCATGTCCTGCCCAGCGCCCACACCGACCCGAGCCGCCCCTGCAGCGCCTTCTCCAGCGTCGTCCGGATCTCTCCTGGTCCTAGATTTTTTTTTTTTTTTCGAATTTTCAGATTTTTTTTACTTTACCCACTTTTCAAGAATGTTTTGTATTCTCCATCCCCTTGGATCAAGTTTTGAGGTTCCACCTATGGGGATCAGAGCTATATTTTCACTCCTCCATATGGGAAGATCGCCCCACTCCCCTTAAAGTCCAATTTTCGAAGGTGTTTTGTAGTCTCCACTTCCTCGGATCAAGTTTTGAGGTCATCCCTATGTGGTATGGTATAGGTTGCCCCTATGGGTACCCCTATGGGTACCCCTATGGGTACCCCTATGGTAAGACCACACCACTTCCCCCCTAAGATCCATAATTTTACCCACTTTTCCAAAATTTTACAGTGTTGCCAAATTTCCTCCATCTTCCTGAATCAATATTTAATCCCTCCTCCTGAACCCACAACACTTTTTTCTCAAAATTTAATTTTTTTTCAATACTAAGAAAAGATCTGAGTTTTACTCACTCCTCGAAAAATTTTTCTAGTCTCCACTCCCTCGGATCAACACCTTACCCACACCTCCCACCACCCACTTCCACCCCCATCCCAAAATCCCTGCTTCACTTCATCGGATCACGATCACCACCATCACCCTCTAAACACAATATTCGTGCTCCATCTTCTTGGATCAAGATTTACCCTCCACCTCCTCTGATCAAGACCTCTCTCACGCCACCCACCATCTACTCCCATCTCTCCCAAACATTTTGATTTTTTTTTCATTTTCTTGTAGTCTCCAGCTCCTCGAATCAAGATCACCTTCACCCTCTAAACCCAATATTCCTGCTCCATCTCCATTGATCAACTTCTTCTCAATATCAATAATACAAAGATCTGAGCTACTCTCCAATTCCTCGGATCAAATTTTTGGGTCCTTCCTATGGAGGGTGCTCATACGTATGCAGGTCTAAACAAGTAACTTCCTCTTACACGAACTAACATGCATGACGTCAGTATTCCTTTCATTAAGTTAAATGAACTAAAAAGTGTATTTACTCGGCGGTCAGTGACGTCACGTGATAGCCACCCATGACCTCACTCGAGGTACAACACGACTGATCAAGCTGGGTCACTTTGTGTCCATTTATTAACTTTAAATGAACTAAGTTACTTTTCTTCTTGTTAACTTAAATGAAGTAAGTCACTTTTCTTCTTGTTAACTTAAATGAAGTAACTTACTTTTCTTCTTGTTAACTTAAATGAAGTCACTTTTCTTCTTGTTAACTTAAATGAAGTAAGTTACTTTACTTCTGGTTAACTTAAATGAAGTAAGTCACTTTTCTTGTTAACTTAAATGAAGTAACTTACTTTTCTTCTTGTTAACTTAAATGAAGTAACTTACTTTTCTTCTTGTTAACTTAAATGAAGTCACTTTTCTTCTTGTTAACTTAAATGAAGTAAGTTACTTTTCTTCTTGTTAACTTAAATGAAGTAAGTTACTTTACTTCTTGTTAACTTAAATGAAGTAAGTCACTTTTCTTCTTGTTAACTTAAATGAAGTAACTTACTTTTCTTCTTGTTAACTTAAATGAAGTCACTTTTCTTCTTGTTAACTTAAATGAAGTAACTTACTTTTCTTCTTGTTAACTTAAATGAAGTAAGTTACTTTTCTTCTTGTTAACTTAAATGAAGTAAGTTACTTTTCTTCTTGTTAACTTAAATGAAGTAAGTCACTTTTCTTATTGTTAACTTAAATGAAGTAAGTTACTTTTCTTCTTGTTAACTTAAATGAAGTAAGTTACTTTTCTTCTTGTTAACTTAAATGAAGTAAGTTACTTTTCTTCTTGTTAACTTAAATGAAGTAAGTCACTTTTCTTCTTGTTAACTTAAATGAAGTAAGTTACTTTTCTTCTTGTTAACTTAAATGAAGTAAGTTACTTTTCTTCTTGTTAACTTAAATGAAGTAAGTTACTTTTCTTCTTGTTAACTTAAATGAAGTAAGTTACTTTTCTTCTTGTTAACTTAAATGAAGTAAGTTACTTTTCTTCTTGTTAACTTAAATGAAGTAAGTTACTTTTCTTCTTGTTAACTTAAATGAACTAAGTTACTTTTCTTCTTGTTAACTTAAATGAAGTAAGTTACTTTTCTTCTTGTTAACTTAAATGAAGTAAGTTACTTTTCTTCTTGTTAACTTAAATGAAGTAAGTCACTTTTCTTATGTTAACTTAAATGAAGTAAGTTACTTTTCTTCTTGTTAACTTAAATGAAATAAGTTACTTTTCTTCTTGTTAACTTAAATGAAGTAAGTTACTTTTCTTCTTGTTAACTTAAATGAAGTAAGTCACTTTTCTTCTTGTTAACTTAAATGAAGTAACTTACTTTTCTTCTTGTTAACTTAAATGAAGTAAGTTACTTTTCTTCTTGTTAACTTAAATGAAGTAAGTTACTTTTCTTCTTGTTAACTTAAATGAAGTAAGTTACTTTTCTTCTTGTTAACTTAAATGAAGTAAGTCACTTTTCTTATTGTTAACTTAAATTCAGTAAACATGGGGTAACACTAATATTTTCCTTCATTTTCCATTTTATGTATTACATTTTCTTAATTACAAGAATTCTCAGTAATACACTACATTTCATAAACAACAAATACATTATACATTTCATTTTTCCACTCTTTCATTAACAACAGATACAACGACTCATTAAACATTTTTCTCTAGTTCAACCACAATTTTATACATAATACGACAAAAGATTCACTTGTCAGAAATTAAGATTTCAATTCACAACTTCCACATTTCTGCCGACTGACATGGACTGCCTGGCGAGGCTCGTATGCGAACCTGAGGTACACTCTTCACCTCCAACCTCCCGACCTCAGGTAAGATCTCAGGTCTCTCCATTGCATCGTCTGAGACTATGACCTGCTCTCTCTCTCTCTCTCTCTCTCTCTCTCTCTCTCTCTCCATCCCAACATCTCACTCTCCCCCCTCCCCAATCATCTCACAACTCTCCAACAAGTCACAATTTTTACTCAGTATCCACAATTTTCCCCGTTTACTATTTCATCAGAAAATCACCCACAACACTTACAATTTTTACCAATACAAGAAAAAAGTTATGTCACACACACCTGTCTCAATTCAACAAAAAGATACAAATTTCACTTATAACCCACAATTTTCTTCTTTCGATACGAATTTTTTCTCAAATGTTCATTGCCACTAATACACACAATTTCACTCTTAACCAGCAATTTTTCCCGTTTTTACTAATTCATAAAAATGCCCAAAAAAATATTTTTATATATTACGAATATTTCCTCGTTTCAGTATTCAGCAATACATCGGTAAATACGACAAAAGAATATCTTGCCACAAATTTCACCAATACAAGAAAGAAGATTTTTACTTATAATGTTCACAACATTTCACATTATATATATGCACATCTCTTCAGATTACAAAAAAAAAACTTTCACCAACCCCCACATCATGTTTACCCACACACACATGCACACACGAACATACACACACACACACATGCACACACGAACATACACACACATACACATGCACACACGAACATACACACACATACACATGCACACACGAACACACACACACACATGCACACCCGAACAGTAAGTATAGCTCCAGGTACACACGAGTAGTTGCACAGGTGTTTACTCATTAAGTAAGTATAGCTCCAGGTACACACGAGTAGGTGCACAGGTGTTTACTCATTAAGTAAGTATAGCTCCAGGTAAACACGAGTAGGTGCACAGGTGTTTACTCATTAAGTATGTATAGCTCCAGGTAAACACGAGTAGGTGCACAGGTGTTTACTCATTAAGTATAGATCCAGGTATGCACGAGTAGGTGCAAAGACATAGGCAGGGTAGTGCCGGTACAGGCTCTCTCGGTACATAGCAGCATCCATGTGGAGAGTCTACGATAAGTCCATTTGCCTGGCAGCGAGATTATCCCTCCCTCTCCTCCTCCCTCTCCCCTCGCTTGACTCGGCTGGCAGGATAGTAACGCACACACACACTACCATAACGGATCCGTCTCATAAACCCACTCATACCCACACATACACACACATACCCACACATACCCACACATACCCACAGTTCACACTCTCCTGGGTACCTCACCTTCCTCTCTCTTTCCCCCCCTCCCTCACTCTTTCCAACCCTTCCTCCTCCTGCTCCTCCTGCTCCTCCTCCTCCTATACCTCCTCCATCTTCCCCCACCTCCCCTCCCTTCCTCCCTACCTGCCTCCCCTACCTCTCTCGTTCCCTCCCTCTCCTCTTCTCGTTCCCTCCTTCTCTCCTCTCCCCTCTCCTCCCTCCTTCTGTGCCTCCTCCATCATCCCACACCTCCCTTCCCTTCCTCCCTATTACCTCCCCTACCTCTCTGTCTCCTCCTCCTCCCCTCCACCTCTCTCTTCCCTCCCTTCCTCCTGCTCCCTCCTCC